GCCTTGGGTTCTTTGATTTGGTAAAGTTAATACCTTTTAAGAACTCGAAGAGAACAATTTGGGCAATCTTCGGCTTCTCTTTTAATCCAATTCCCAGACTCACAGTTTTGAAACCCAAATGGGAAATCATCTCCTCACGTTGTCCCTGCTCCTCGTAGCTGTCTGCGTTTGCGTTTCAGTCATCACCACAAAGCTAAACCCTAAAGAAACAATCTCTGATTCCGATTTCGCTTCTGCGATTCCCACTGAGATTCATGGAGTCAAGATCCTTCGACAACCTTCAAACACCAAACTTGCTCAACTAGGAGTCGCTTCTTGGCCAAAGTCGGTTCCTTTCTCTATTCCCTTTGTGACTTTTGATTATATCTCTGCCTCTCTGCTTCACTGGTCTAGATACAGAACTAGGGTTTCCTCAAAATGTTTGGAATCGATAGAAAAACAATACTTTTACAGTTATTGCTGATCCAACCTGGGGATTTTTCATCATTCTTTTACCCAATTTCACCATCGTTATCTAATTCCCTGCTCAAAGAATCTTCGGACAGTGATCTTATGAAGTCTAATTGTGTCTGAAACATGTGAAAATTTGGCTTCTTTGCTCTATGTGCTTCAATAGTTTGGTAGGTTCTTTGAAATCAATAGAAAAGCTGAAGCAGGGCAAGTGCATTACTGTTTTAGACATTTGTAATTTTTCCTGTGAATTTGTGAGGACTGAGTTATGATGTTACATTGAGTAGGTGGGAAGGTAAACCAAGCAAGTTTCCATGGACGTTTACGAAGACGGAGACTATGTATTTAGTGGAAGGGAAGGTGATAGTGAATGTAGAGGGATACGATAACGAAGAAGAAGCGTTTGAGATAGGGAAAGGAGATGTTGTTGTTTTCCCTAAAGACATGAAAGTTGTTTGGAAGATAACTGAAGCTGTGAAGAAACACTATAGCTTAGAAGACTAATAATCAATGACTTCAAGTTTTTTATGTAGAGAATTTGAGTCATATTGATGATGCTCGTTTGTTGTTATTGTATTGTATCTGTTTTCTACTTTTTAAACTAAGCCCATCTATTGTGTTGCAATGTTGATGCGGTAGTAAGAAGTAATCTTTACAGGCTCATTTTTTTTTTCTTTTGGGTGGTCATTCTTGTGACACCCGTCTCGCTTATTTGTGGTAAACAACCTTAACAATTCTTTTATAAAATCCGATAATTTATTCCATAAACCAAGTGTTAAACCATTCCACATTAACCATAAGTCCAACGCCATAAAAATCGCGTGAAAACCAATGCTAGAAATACTAAGTAAATTGTTTTAAAAATCATAACATAAAATCCGTTAAAACCAGCACCTGGACAACAACCACCTTGAGCCGCTATTCATTATCACCTGAAAGGGAAAAAAGAGGGGTGAGTAATTCCTACAAGAAATTACTCAGTGAGGATATTACCCACATAAACTCCAATACTCGAGAATATTACATGTCAAACATACTAACCAAGAAATAGACCAAACATCACCCAACTTAATGCTAGCAACCATGCATTCATATTCACAATTTCTACATTCCAATCTCATATTCAACTCTTAAAACACAATTTCATCTTCAACATAATTCAATTAACTTTCCATTCCTTACTTAACTTTTAATTCCTTTACTTAATAAATCACGGCAGAGCCAAACTCTTTCTCGCGTTTTGGGTATGTACTCCCCGTCATGGCTCTATAAGGCCTAATGGAACTACAACGGACTTACATACGCGATCGTCCGCAGAACTATATATCCTATCTACAATCTCAAACAATAATTTTAATCCTAACATTCTTTCTTATCCAAACAGTTTCCAAACATCAACAATCATTACTATCAATTAGCAATCATCACCCAATTCAATCCTAGACTTAGCACATAAACCATTCAACAACAAACATTTCATTCCTAGACTAGCATGTAAGAACACCTAACGCTAACTAGTACTAAAGTAGCATGGATCCCACCCTCACCTTAGCCTTTTGGATGATCAAATACGGAGGAGTGAACCTAGAAGGATGTGAATCTGCGTTATGGGCGGTTGGCGTCTGGAAAATAGCGATTCAAGTCAAAAATAGCATTTCTGGATTTTGACAGAATAAATGTTTCTTGACCAGGAACAAACATCAGTAACTCACTAGATTTAGATCGGATTGGAAAACCGGAACTTGATATGAAATCTCTGTAACGTCAGCTTTCCAACGATACCAAAACCGTGATCTAAATCGTTCTGTAACAGCGAACACCTTCCTCCAAAGTTAGCTCTATGAAACCGGAGAACAGATTCTGGTCAGATATCTGGGGAAAACTTAAATCGTAGATTGCAGATTCATCTTACCCCAGAATCAAAATCGGAAAACAGCCACAGAATCTGCGAAGAATCCTCTATCCAACGGTAGGTAGATTGTCTCCTAGTTCCTCACGGTTCGCCGGCAAATCACCGCCCAAGTGCTCTGGTCGGATTAGAGAATAAGAATTCCAGATTGAGAAAACAGTGATTTTTCCCGATATTCAAATACGATTTGCGAGCAGACCATACCTCGTAATTCGAATCCGAAAGAAATTACAAAAACTAGAATCCGTGATATTTCTAGAGATATAAGAATCACGATCTAAGTATTTATGAGCCGCCGGTCAGCCCCGCAAAACAGCAACTCGGAACTAGCTTAACTGAGAAGGTAAAGACGGTTAGAGCGAGAAAATAGGGTTTTGCTAGCTGTGCAAT